ACGTAAGTAGAGCCGCTAGTGTTTAGTGCATCTTTTGGTTGTACTCAAGTGTAGTAGACCTTATTCAGCCATTACTTGGTGCTCTGGTAGCTAAATTCGCATGGATAATATTTGCCTGGTAAATGCGATTAATTATCTAGAAGCAGCATTTGCAATACTCGGCTTGAGGAAAAGCATTTATTGCTTAGAATTGTTTGGTTAAAAAGTGACTCCTACTCGTCCAGGGATACCCCAAAACCCTATAATCCAAACTTCACCAGAGATTCTCCTGAAAAGCTTGCGCTTTTGGATGTTTTTATGTATTTGTGAACTGGCCTTCACTAAGTAGTTTTCTAGGATTCTTGTGCATTTGTTAAGCCTGATTGTGCAAGTTGCGTTTTTCAAGCATAGTATATATGTGGTCTTTATTGAATACTTCAGACATGTTTGTTTCATCGTTATGTAAGTAGAACCGCTTCTATTTCCATTATTGTGCATTTTTAAGCTTGCTTATGCAAATTGTGCTTTTCAGACATAGTATATAAGTGGTCTTTATTGAATACTTCAGCAATTTTTGTCTCATTGTTATGCAGGTAGAACCGCTTCCATTTCCGTTAGTGTTTATTTCGTATTGGGTTGAGTATGGTCCTTTAAATAGTATTCACTTGGGTCAAATTGGGCTATTTGCTTAAGAATTCCTCTAGTAGTTAAATTCGCATAGAATGAATACTTCAAAAAAAGGATTGTTTCATGAATATGTAAACATAAGGTGTTTCATTTGACTTTGCAGATAGTATTTCAATAATACTTTGCCTGGTATAAACACAACTGTTTCAATGCATGAGTTGCTCAACAAAGCACTATTTGCCCTTTAAACCACACTTTGCCATAATTTTTTTGTTGAATATGGTGCTTCTTTCGTATTTTGGTTGAGTATGGTCCTTTAAATGGTATTCACTTGAGTCAAATTGGGCTATTTGCTTAATAATTGCTCGAGTAGCTAAATTCGCATAAAATGATTATTTCAAAAATAAAAACGATTCATGAATATGTAAACATAAGGTATTTCAGTGGACTTTTCAGAGAGCATACTTTGCCTAGTACAAACACAATTGTATAAATACAGTAGTTGCTCAACAAAGCATTATTTGCACTTTAAACGCACACTTTGCCATATTTTGGTTGAGAATGGTGTCTATTTCGTATCTTGGTTGAGTATGCTCCTTTAAATAGTATTCACTTGAGTCAACTTGGGCTCTTTGCTTAACAATTTCTCCAGTAGTTAAATTCGCATAGAACCAAGAAAAATGTTTCACTATTTGATTAATACTTTGCCTCGTACAAACACTTGTATAAATAAATTAGTTGCTCAACAAAACATTAATTGCCCTTTAAACGCACAATTTGCATAGAAAGCCACAAATCTAAACATCTAAAGACAGCATTGTCCGCTTCAGATTCAAAATGTAGATTCTTCCAATGCTGGCTTATCGGGGTCTGTGAGGTGGGTGTCCCAGTAACTGTCCTTCAATACCCGGTGATTAACTACGCGACTTTTGGGCCTTCTTTGTTATATTTTGTTAAAAAGGCCTAAAAAGGCCGAAAAAGGGTAGGTCGCTGGGGGGGGGGGTAGCATATATATATATATATATATAATTCGATTCCGTGCTCGTATTGTGAGGGGCTAGTGATCGCCCTAGAGGTTTGTCGTATGTCCTCCCGATTCTTGTTCCTGAGATTTGGTAGGGGCCTAGAGCTTTGTCGTATGTCCCCTCCTTTCGCCCCTTCGTGTTGTAGGGGTTTTGTTGGGCCTTGAAGGCTTGTCGTGTGTCCCCTTTCTTCGAGCTTGGAGAATTGAGGAGTGTCGAGATGATTACCATACATCATTTGCTTCCGTGCTCGTACTATGTGGGGTTTGTGACTGCCCTAGAGGTTTGTCTTTTGTCCCCTTCCTTCGTCCCTTCGCGTTGTATGGGTGGTAAGGGTTTTGTGAGGGCCCTGGAGGCTAGTCGTATATCCACTTTCTTCGAGCTTGTAGGGTTTGGGGGGAGCGTCTAGAGTCTAGATGATCGTCATATATGATTTGCTTCCGTGCTCAAACTATGAGGGTCTAGTGGCTGTCCTAGAGGTTTGTCATTTGTCCCCCCCGTTTCCTTGGTCCTGTGATTTGGTAGGGGCTTAGAGGTTTGTCATACGTTCCCTCGCTTCGTCCTTTCGTGTTGCAAGGGTTTTGTGAGAGCCCTGCAAATTTGCCGTGTGTCCCCTTTCTTCTCACTTGTAGGGTTTGGGGAGCGTCTAGACGACTGACATATAATTTGATTCCGTGCTCGTATTGTGAGGGGCTAGTGATTGCCCATGATTGCCCTAGAGGTTTGTCGTATGTCCCCCCGATTCCTGTTCCTGAGATTTGGTAGGGGCTTAGAGCTTTGTCGTATGCCCCCTCCTTTCGCCCCTTCGTGTTGTAGGGGTTTTGTTGGGCCTTGAAGGTTTGTCGTGTGTCCCCTTTCTTCGTGCTTGGAGAGTTTGAGGAGCGTCGAGATGATTACCATACATCATTTGCTTCCGTGCTCGTACTATGTGGGGTTACTGACTGCCCTAGAGGTTTGTCGTATGTCCCCTTCCTTCGTCCCTTCGCGTTGTATGGGTGGTAAGGGTTTTGTGAGGGCCCTGGAGGCTAGTCGTATATCCACTTTCTTCGAGCTTGTAGGGTTTGGGGGAGCGTCTAGAGTCTAGATGATCGTCATATATGATTTGCTTCCGTGCTCAAACTATGAGGGGCTAGTGGCTGTCCTAGAGGTTTGTCATTTGTCCCCCCCGTTTCCTTGGTCCTGTGATTTGGTAGGGGCTTAGAGGTTTGTCATACGTTCCCTCGCTTCGTCCTTTCGTGTTGCAAGGGTTTTGTGAGAGCCCTGCAAAATTGCCGTGTGTCCCCTTTCTTCTCACTTGTAGGGTTTGGGGAGCGTCTAGACGACTGACATATAATTTGATTCCGTGCTCGTATTGTGAGGGGCTAGTGACTGCCCTAGGGGTTTGTCGTATGCCCCCTCCCCCGCTTCCTTGTTCCTGTGATGTAGTAGGGGCCTACAGGTTTGTCGTATGTCCCCTGCCTTCGTCCCTTCGTGTTGTAAGGCTGATAAAATTTTTCTGAGGGCCCTTGGAGATTTGTCGTATGTCCCCACGCTTAGTGTTCCTGAGATTTGGTAGGGGCCAGAGATTTGTCGAATGTCCCCTCCTTTCGTCCCTTCGTGTTGAAATTGCTTTGTTGGGGGAAGGTTTGTCGTATGTCACCTTTCTTTCTTCTTAGAGGGTTTGGGGATCTTCTAGAAAACTGTCATATATCATTTGCTTCCGTGCTCGTATTATGAGGGGCTGGTGTTTGTCATAGAGGTTTGTCGTATGTCCCGCCGCTTTCTGTTCCTGCGATGTGGTAGGGGCCTAAAGAGGTTTGTCGTGTGCCCCCTCCCTTCGTCCCTTTGAGTTGCAAGGGTTTTGTTGGACCTGGAAGATTTATCGTATGTCTCCTTTCTTCGTGCTTGTAGGGCGTGGGGAGCGTCTAGATGATTATCATATATGATTTGCTTCCGTGCTCGTATTATGAGGGGCTAGTGACTGCCCTAGAGGTTTGTTTTATGTCTCCCTGCTTCGTGTTCATGTCATTTGCTAGGGTCCTGGAGATTTGTCGTATGTCATTTTACCATATACGAAATTAGATACAATCCCTTCGTCCCTTCGTGTTGTAAGGGTTTCGTGAGGGTCCTAGAGGTTTGTCGTATGTGCCCTTCCTTCGTCCCTTCTTGTTGTAAGGGTTTTGTGAGGGCCCTGCAAATTTACCGTATGTCCCCTTTCTTCGTGCTTGTAGGATTTGGGCAGCGTCTAGATGATTGTCATTATCATTTGCTTCCGTGCTCGTACTATGAGGCGCTAGTAACTGCCCTAGACCTTCAGGGCCCTCACAAAACCCTTACAACACGAAGGGACGAAGGGAGACGACATACGACAAACCTCTATCATCTAGATGCTCCCCAAACCCTACAAGCAAGAAGAAAGGGGACATACGACAAACCTCCAGGGCCCTCACAGAACCCTTACAATAGGAAGGAATGAAGGGAGGCGACACACTACGAACCTTTAGGCCCCTACCAAATCACAGGATCACGAAGCGGGGGCGTCATCTGACAAACCTCCAGGCCAATCACTAGCCCCTCATAATACGAGCACGGAAGCACATGATATGTGATTATCATCTACACACTCCCCAGACCCTACAAGCACGAACAAAGGGGACATACGACAAACCTCCAGGACCCTCCCAAAACCCTTACAACACGAAGGGACGAAGGGAGGGGACACACGACAAACCTTTAGCCCCCTACCAAATCACAGGAACACGAAGCGGGGGGACATACGACAAACCTCTAGGGCAGGCACTAGCCCTCATAATACGAGCACGGAAACACATCATATATGTTAATCATTTTGATGCTCCCCCAAAACCTATAAGAACGAGAAAGGGGAAGCACACAAACCTCCAAAGCCCTTACAAAACCCTTACAACACGAAGGGACGAAGGGAGGGGACATACGACAAACCTCTGGCCCCTACCAAGTCACAGGAAACACGAAGCGAGGGTGCTTGCCTAAGTCTGGCTGTTGGCCGGCTGGATCTACATTTACTGCTACTACTACTACTACTACTACTACTACTACTACTACTACTACTACTACTACTACTACTACTACTACTACTACTACTACTACTACTACTACTACTACTACTCCTGCTACTCCTACTACTACTACTACCACTTCTGCTTTCAAGAAGTTTTGTGAATAGTAAACAAAGGGGCGTGCCAAATAGACCCTAAAGGTCCATGCCACATATATGTATATATGTTAAAAGCCGTACGAACCCTACAAACCCTAAGCCCCCAACCTGGCCTGGGCCACCCTAAACCCTAAACCCTAAACCCTAAATCCTAAGCCCTAAACCCTAAACCCTAAACGCTAAGCCCCAAGCCTGGCCTGGGCCACCTTGGGTTTTCGCTTCCTGGGAGGGAAGTCCTCCAGCTTCCGCGGCGCCTGGAGTCCGAAAGCGTGGGGGTTTCGGTGGCCAAAGGCCAGTTGAAGGGTGTTGTGGGATTTAGGGTTTAGGGTTTAGGGCTAGGGTTTAGGGTTTAGGGTTTAGGGTTTCGGGTTTAGGGCTTAGGGTTTAGTTGGGGGTTTGGAGTTTAGGGCTTGTTTTTGCCGCCGGCCAAGCTGACACGGAGGCCACATTGCAGCGAGCACAGGGTTTTTGGCTTAGGGCTTAGGGTTTAGGGTTTTTGGCTGAGGGTTTTGGGTTTAGGGCTTAGGGTTGAGTGAGTTGAGGGTTTGCAAAGGATTTGTAGGGCCCAGCGCTTCATTGTCAGCAGGGTGAATTATCACATCCTAAGCCCTAAACCCTAAACCCCTAAACCCCTAAACCCTAAACCCTAAACCCCTAAACAATAACCCTAATTGGAACGCCGGCGTGGTACAAGCCCTGCCAAGACCGTGACCTGAAACGGGGACACACAGAGAGCCCGGAAGTAAACAGGAATATGACCAGTTCACATTGGGATCCCTTAGTAAAAGCCCTAAATTGGGAACATCCCAAACCCTAAACCCAACCCGAAACCCGAAACTAACCCCTACTTTTATCCCCTTTAAGGACTTCTAGTACAAGGGGGAACATCCCAAACCCCAAACCCAAACCCAAAACCTTAAACTAAGGGGTATCGGTATTGGGCTCTGAACCCCAAACTCGGAATTGCGACCCCCGGGCTCGCACGAGGCAGGCAGGTTAGGGTATGGGGTTTATGGTTTCTGCATTTGGGGCTGAGGGTTGAGGTTTTCGGCTCACAGAAAGAACCCCAACGGCCTTAGTTCCTAAAAACCTCGAACAACCCCTCCCCCCTTCCCTGGATGGGCTATTCGGCCCCAGAATCCCCATGATCAACCCTATGAAGGGCCTTTTTAAGGGGTTATAGGGCCCAATAGCCAGTCCTGGTCCCCAGGGGGAAAGACAAAAACCTCCCTAAACCGAATACCCTGGAGCCCCACCGCGCCTTACGCTGCAGGTTGGTCCTTACCAGCAGGGAGCTTGGATTCTAGAACTCCACCCCTAAACCCTAACCCCTGAACCCTGAACCCGAAACCCTAAACCCTCTCTACCTATGTATATTTAAACCTTAATGGGGTCGTGTTCTGATTATGATTTTTTGAGGCTTTAGGATTTAGGATTTAGGATTTAGGATTTAGGATTTAGGATTTAGGATTTAGGATTTAGGATTTAGGATTTAGGATTTAGGATGGATTTAGGGTTTAGGGTTTAGGATTTAGGATTTAGGATTTAGGATTTAGGATTTAGGATTTAGGATTTAGGATTTAGGATTTAGGATTTAGGCTTTAGGATTTAGGATTTAGGGTTTAGGATTTAGGCTCTGGGGGCGGTGCCGACTGCGGCCTTCGTTGCTGGACCAGAGGCCCTTTTTCGGGCTCAGCCTGGGCCACTGCTCAAAAATCGCGTTTTTCGGCTTGAGCCCCTGTTTTTTCCATCTTCGAGCCTGGGAGGCCCCTGGGAGGCCCCTGGGAGGCCCCTGGGAGGCCCCTGGGAGGCCCTGGGAGGCTGTCCCGGTCACCCCGGGACAGGTTGTCCCGGGGCCCCCCCGGGACAGGTTGTCCCGGGGCCCCCCCGGGACAGGTTGTCCTGGGGCGTCCCGGGGCGTCCCGGGGCCCTCTTGGGACAAATGTCCCGGGGCCCCCCCGGGACACCCCCAGGACAGCTGTCCCGGGGGCCCCGCGGGACGCCCCGGGACGCCCCCAGGACATTGTCCCGGGGCCCCCCCCGGGACGCCGAAATTCGAAATTTTGGGTGCGTGGTCCGTTTTGTTTTTCTGCGTTTTCGCAGGTGTTTTGTACGGTTTTCCTAAACCGACGCAGCAGCCAAAAACCGCTTGCTGGCCCAGAACCCGCGTTTTTTGGGTGTTTTCTGCGTTGGTTGCGGCGCCACGGTTGTACGATTCAATAGCCATGCTTAGACGAATCAGCAAGATGCGATTCCGGATTTCCTGCCCTAATTCATATAAGTGGGTTAATCGCAAATAACTAACGAAAAAAAGAAGATATGTAATTCAGATGAAGAGGGATCTGGGAGGGAGGGGTGATGCCAAATACGCGGGGTGATGACAAAAACCCTTAGTGAATGCTTGGACCAGAGATGCTGAACCCTAAACCCTAAACCCTAAACCCTAAACCCTAAACCCGAAACCCTAAACCCGAACCCTAACGGAATGCTCTTGACATTGCCTCAGGGCATACATGAAACCGTTGCCAAGCCGTGAGGAGACCCTAAACCCGCAAACCATATGGGAAACCCTTTCAGCTAGCCGTCAGGAGACCCTAAACCCTCTAAACCCTAAACCCTAAACCCTAAACCCATATGGGGAGTTACCCTTCAGCTTTCGACTTGTTTTTTGGGCAGGTGGCTTCTAGGTCTGGGGTTCAAGTTTTCGGCTGGGTCGTCTTTGATGTTCTTCAGGCTTCGGGGGGGGGGGGGGGGGGCTATGAACCCACCACAGTGGTGGGTTTATGGTTCGGGGTTTGGTAAAAGATGCATGCAGCTGCTGGCCAGGGAGCGGAGAATTCTGGTTACTCTGGGTCTCTCCGAAATCGCTGTCGAGGTGTAACTTCCGATCTGGTGAGATTGTCAGCAAGGGATCCTCCTGCATGGCAGGGCTGGCTGAGGGTTTAGGGTTTAGGGTTTCAGGTTTTTGTTCGCTCCCGCGTAGCTGGCCGAGGGTTTAGGGTTGAGGGTTTAGGATCCAGGGTTTAGCTTGGGTTTAGTGCTTGGGTAGAACTCAGAGCCCTCGGGATAAAATGAGAAACTTGCTGTAGCCCTGACCTACCTGATCACGCAAGTTGTACTTCAAGTCACAGTATCCAGAAAGGCCCAAAAACCCCTTGATGAAAAGGAGGGGGGGGGTACCTTAAACTCGAGGAGGGATCCTAATCTGAATTAAAGCGGTTTAGGGTTTAGGGTTTAGGGTTTAGGGCTTAGGGTGTTTCTGCAGCCTTAAAGGGTATTGAGCTCCCTGGGCACACCCAAGATGATCCACCTTCCATCCTAACATGTGGCTCACGGCGGCAGAACTGCAGAACTTGTTCGCCCCAACGTCTAGATGCCGTACGGATGTACAACCATATCACCTTGGGATGTTCCCCCCCTGTGCTAACAGTCCGTAATAGGGATTGCAATAGTTTCATAGGGAACCCTAAACCCTAAACCCTAAACCCTACAATCCCTATTAAGGACTGTTAGTAAGCATATCATGGCATAAGGCCCGCGCGTCCCCTTCGTTGGAGGGCTGCTGGTTCTCGTTGTCGTCAGATCGCCTGTGGCTTAGGGCTTACCTGGGACTTTATTTACCTAAGGGTTTGGGTTTAGGGTTTAGGGTTTAGGGTTTAGGGGTTTAGGGGTTTAGGGGTTTAGGGGTTTAGGGGTTTAGGGGTTTAGGGGTTTAGGGGTTTAGGGGTTTAGGGGTTTAGGGGTTTAGGGGTTTAGGGGGGGGGTTAGGGGTTTAGGGGTTTAGGGGTTTAGGGGTTTAGGGGTTTAGGGGTTTAGGGGTTTAGGGGTTTAGGGGTTTAGGGGTTTAGGGTTTAGGGTTTGGGGTTTGGGGTTTAGGGTAACTTCTAAATTCGTATGTAGAACCCATATAACGGCAGGCCCAGGTACCTCAAGAACACACAGCCATGGTCAGTGGTACACAGCCCTTCCATTCTCAGGTAACAAACGCCGCGAGGAGCCCAAGGAAGCCTTGCTGGGGTTTAGGCTTTAGGGTTTAGGGTTTAGGGTGCTGATGTCCAGCCCCTAACCGGTTTATCCGGATCCGCAGCCGATTCTTGCAAGTCCCTACTCCGGATCGTCCTGCAGATATGTTTTACCCTAAACCCTACCCAGGCCTCTCTTTTTTATGGGTCATACCTGGGTTTAGGGTTTAGGGTTTCGGGCCTGAGGCTACTAATTCAGGAAATTCTAGGCAAATAGAGTCCCAGGTAAACCCTGTCGATCTGAACCTCGAGAACCCCATAACCTGCCTTGTTTGTAGGTTACCTGAGAAGCGCACAAGGGGTGCGATAGCAAGAACCTACAAACATGTAATGCCTAAGCCCCAAACCCTAGACCCCAAACCCCAAACCCTAAACCCTAAACCCTAAACCCTAAACCCTAAACCCTAAACCAACCCCAAACCCTAGACCCCAAGTGTTTTTCTTTCTAAGCAATTCTCCGACATCCAAGGCTCAAGGCCGCCAGCGCCGCATTCTGAGCTCAAGCAGCCCGGAAAGTTGGGCTTCGGGGTGGGGGGGGTTTAGGGTTTAGGGTTTAGGGTTTAGGGTTTAGGGTTTAGGGTTTAGGGTTTAGGGTTTAGGGGGCCTCTTTGGAGTTCAAAGGGTGTGGAGTCTCTAGTAAGGAAGGCCCTACCAAGAATTGGCTTGAACAGTTTGTGGACTTTCGGATATGTTCAGAGTGCTTTTGGCGGCCCTGGCGAGGCCGCAGCATAGGCTTCACCTGTTAGCCCGTGCAATAAGAATAATAGTAATAGTAATAATAATAATTATTATTGTTAATAAAAATTATTAAAAATAATAATAGTAAGGGTACCCTTTTTTGTGTTGGCTGGCTACTTTATAAGGGAACCTTATAAAAAAGGGCAAGAGGGTGCCACTGGGCGACCAAGTTCCTTGGATGACCCCTCTGAAGCATCAGTTCCGTGTCAAAACGTGCAGCCAAGGAGGCCAAGTGAGAGCCCAACTACCCAACTAAGAAATGCACCTTTTCAATGTCTAGGGTCTAGGGTTTGCTATCTCAGTTTAAGGCTCATTCATATTCATATTCCTTAACGAGGGTCTTGGCGCTCGGAGTACTAGGGTACCTGGCAACCGGCAGTAGCGTCCAGCAGTCGTGCTAGGGGGGGCTGAGAGATGAAACTGACCGCTTCGCTTGATCCTAAAGTGAATGAAGGGCTATGGTGTCGCAATACCGTTTGTCTGCCATGATTTAAGAACTCTCTCAGAAAATATAATATTCCCTATATTCAACTCATAAGGAAGAATATTTTGTCATTTGTTCGGGAATTTCTAAGCAATTAGCAGTCAGAGGGCTATAGAAAACAAACCCTAAACCCTTAAGCCCTACAAAGCCAAAAAGCCATAAACCCAAACCCCATAAAACCCATAGACCCTGTAAACCCTATAAACCTCATAAATTCCCTGTAACCCCTCTAAATTCCCTGTAAACCCTATTAGAAACCCTACAAACCCTATTAGAAACCCTACAAACCCTACAAACACTTACCCTTCCAAGAGTCGAAGGGGATGTTCAGCCGGAGCTTACCCCGCACGCGGGCTTGGCACCGCCGATCGCGGAGGATGGCATCACTGCTGCTGCCAACTGGGGCAGGTTGCTTGGCTGCACTTAGGAGGGTAGCTATGAATAAAGTTTGTAGCTGCCTTACTAGGAAGCCCAATAAACAAAAAAAGGCTAAGGATCTAAAGTTACAGTAAAGCACCACGAAGGTTCGAGGGACTTCGGACTTAATTATTCGATGTTGTCTATTGTGATGTGTTCCTGTCAGTCTTTCCTTCTTTCTTTTGTTGTTTTGTCTTTATTCATTTTGTTTTTGTGTTCTGAGGGGTGGGGTGGGGTGGATTAAGCTTGCAGAGGGTTACGGTTGTTGAGGGTCGAAGGTTTAGCAGGATTGAGATGTGCAAGGAGGGGCGCCCTTACTAATACCAACTGTAGCTAAGGGCCTCATAACCTAATTTAGGATCCTTATGACCCAATTTAGGGCCCTTATAACTCTACTCAGAACTGGGTGCCCTTCCTTGTAGGGTAACTCTACTTATAACCGGGGGCCCCTCCTTGTAGGGGTGGACGGTGGGCGTTTGTCGGTTTTGGGCCCGAGGTCGCGCTCCACGTCCCCAGCACCAGAATTCAAAAAAAGGTCGAGCAGCCCAGAGCCCAAGGATCCCGAGACCCCTTAAATTGAGGGTTTAGGGTTTAGGGTTTAGGGTTTAGGGTTTAGGGTTTAGGGTTTAGGGTTTAGGGTTTAGGGTTTAGGGTCCCCCTTATACTAACAGTCCCTAATAGGGATGTTTGTAGCTCCTCTAATAGGAGAATCCCTATTAGGGACTGCTAGTATACGGGTGAACATCCCAACATATGTCTTATGTGATTATGAGGATCCCTACATCCTTGAAAACTACAGCCCTTAGCTTGAGGGGTCTTGGGCCCCTAAACCACTTACGATATAATTCCTATCCTTCCAGGGACCTCGTCATTATAAAGATCTGCCCAAGGCCCTAAGAATGGCACCCTAAACCCTAAACCCTAAACCCTAAACCCTAAACCCTAAACCCTAAACCCTAAACCCCGCGACTCTCCTCTGGGGCCGGTGCGGGAGCTCGAGAGGATGGAGAAAGTCGACTGCGTGCAGGCCGCGCCGCTCCACATGAGCTCGGTCTGATGGCTACCGCCACCGTGATGCCCTAAACTCTTTCGAGCCTACCCTAAACCCTAAACCCTAAACCCTAAACCCTAAACCCTAAACCCTAAACCCTAAACCCTAACACCCTTGAACCCTGAGTTCCCTGAACCCTTTTTCTTGAAGCGTTTGTGGTGTAGGGTGTTGTATGGTGGTGTAAAGCCTGAACCCTAAGTCCTAAACCTTTCTGATCCTGCAATCCCTGTTTAATACGGGCTCCATAGTCCTCGCCGGCTCCATCCGGCGGAGGCCATCTGCGTAAACCCAATGCGAAGAAGATATGGCCTTAACATGAACCCCATGGCTTGAGCCCAACCGCTCCTTCGCACGTAAGCATCTCCATTTCGCGTTCACTTGGCCGCATCGTGGAGAAATCCATAAAGATACACAGATAGGCACTTCAAATGAACCGACGTGATTTGGATATTGCAAGACAGATGATACAGACATAACGCCGAAAACATTCACAACGACCAACCCCAAGAATGGCCCCTGTAGGACCATCACACGTATATTCGGTACGTGTAGGTAGGTACAAGGAGGGGCCCCCTAGTTCAGGACCCTAACTTGGGTTATAAGGATCCTAAATTAGGTTATAAGTCCCTTCAATACAGTTAGTATAGCGAAGTAGAGCTATAAGGATCCTAGATTGGGTAAGTTATAAGGATCCCCAATTAGTAATAGGTCATAAGTCCCTTAACTACAGTTAGTATAGTATGTTAGATGCATGGAGTCCAAAAGCCTTAGAGGGTTTGGGGTTTCGGGTTCCACCGGGCTGTCTGAGCCCCCCCCCCCCTAAACCCTGAACCCCAAATTCCCTAAACCCTAATTAAACCCTAAACCCTAAACCCTAAACCCCTAAACCCTGAACCCTAAATTCCCTGAAGCAACCCCCCCATGCCTGCCAGAATGCGCCGTCCCACGAGCCGTCGCCGTAGGACAGGGCACACAAAGTCGGGTAGGAAGGGGCAAGCCAGGGGAGCCTTCGAGGGATCTCCTTCGTCAGGCTCGTTGAAATCTCGGACGGTGTCTTCCACGATGTCCCGCTGCAAGAAGCCCAGGCCCCAGAGCCCTGGCCGCTTCTCCTCCATCAAGGGCCGGGGCTGCGCCCCGCCACGCGCATCCCAGGCCTCGCCACCGGGCGCTGGTTGCCCTGGCTGCCCTGGCTGCGCTGGCTGTTGGGAGACGGCGCCGCGCGACTTGAGCCGCGGCCGGCGGCAGACCCAGCTTAGCTCGTCTTGGAGGCGGAGGGCGAGCACAGCACAGTAGGCCCGTGCCACGGCAACAAAGAGCCCCACGCAGTAGAGCAGCACTCCCGCGAGCGGCGAGGCGTTGCAGGGCAGCTGGGCTACAGCCAGGGCAGCCACCAGGGTGCTGTAGATCTCAGTGCAGATGGTGCACACGGCGTAGGTGGTGAAGCGTGGCACGCTCTGCCATGGGCCCCAGTATGCGACGCTCATGGGAACGGCAGCAGTCGAGGATTTCGGCCGCCGAGAGGTGCAAGCAACCCAGACCTAGGACAAAAGCCAGCTGCTCGGCAACAAATACATGCTGGCTGAGTTTGTGGGGTTCGTCTACCTCAATCCTAGTGCCTCCTTGTAGTTAAGGGACTTATAACCTAATTTAGGATCCTTACACCCCAATTTAGGGTCCTTGTAACTCTACGTATAAGAAGGGCTTGTAGCTGATGGCAAACCTACATGGCAACCAGCACTCCACGAGTCGCCAAAGAGGCTCCGTCGAATGCAGCCGGGAGACGAATGGCAAGATGCAAAGTAGCAGCTCGGGTAGACACTCGTACGCCAATCGCAGCCCTGGGGTAGTGCTGGAGCTTCAAGTTCTTGTCTGGATTTCGAAGCTACGGTATTTGCATCAGTGAGGCGAGAATTACCTGAAAGCTGAAACATTTAATATGGGTGCGTGTATAAACATCTACCTATACGTGCACATGTGCGCGCTTTGGAGACTTATTTCTTTGACAGACCTAGAGTGGAGGGTTAGGGTGACACAGATTGCAGATGCTTCGTGGGCTTTTGGTCTACAAAATCAGCTGTCCAAGGCCAGACAGAGACTCACTTAACAATTGCAAGAGCTGGAGCTTGGGCTGCGTCTTCAATCCGAGTCTAACCAAGCATGCCAGGAATGGGGGACAGACTCGCAACTTGTGTGGTCACCCTTCGTGTTCCGTTTCCCGCCTACCACGAGCAGCACGCGTGCGACGATGTAAGACAACCGCAGCACCTGAAAAACGACTCTCAGCAAGCTGATGCTCAGCCCCCTACTTGGAGGTTCATGGTAGGTAATCACTTCCCCCCTGTTGGTAAAAAACACTTTCCGGAAAATCTGCCCTGCCGAAACCGACCCCGCCTGTTAAACCCTATTCCGAATGGGGGGGGGGGGGGGGGGGCGGTTCAGGGCCTCAAAAACCAACCCTTTCCCAAAGGATGGCATATGGATATAAACTAAAGACATCCCCCTAAGATGAAAACACATTTCGAGTTGCGGCGGTGGGGTGGGGGGGGGGGGCGTTTAATAATAGGGGGAAACGATTTTACTTGATGATAACCCTAATATAAGCTCCTTCTGACCCTACTTATAATTTCCCATGAACCTTCAAGCACAAATCTGAACCCGCGAAGAAGGATATGTACATGTAAAGCGTGAACCCGAAACTTTATGAAAGCCTTTTGCTAAACCCTAACCTAAACCCTAAACCCTAAACCCTAAACCCTAAACCCTAAACCCTAAACCCTAAACCCTAAACCCTAAACCCTTTTGCCTAAACCCTAAACCCTAAACCCTAAACCCTAAACCCTAAACCCCAAGCAATGGGGCCCTGGGCCCCAGGGTTCCTTTGAAGGCCCTTAATGGCTTCTACTACCAGACCCAAGATGAACCTAGGAATAAAAGGGTCCTGATAAGGGAGCCTGAGCCTAAACCCTAACATAAGGGGGGTTTAGGGTTTAGGGTTTAGGGTTTAGGGTGTAGGGTTTAGGGTTTAGGGTTTAGCCTAGACCCTAACATAAGGAAGTAAGGGCCTAGTCTGGGTCCGAGTATAGGGTTCTCGGCTTTGTGGGAAGAAGGCTTCGGGGCTTCTGATTCTTGGGCTGCCCAAGAGCCGTGGCAAAGCAGGCGATGAGCATGAACGCCTGGCAGCTCGGCAGAAATGGGGCCTTTTTGTTGGGTAAAGAAGGGGAATTTCGGTGGACAGCTTCTGTCACAAGTCTCTGAACGCTTGCTATGGAGTGGCCGGGGGGGAGGAATTGATTGCAGCGTTCTGGTCGCAGAGTGCAACTCTACCCAACGCCCCATACCCCAAGGCTCTACATTAGGAGGCTTGTGTTAAGGACTTTTGGGCCCAATGACCATGCTTTATCAGGCTTTCGGAATACATTGAGCCCTAAACCCCGGTAGGGTTTAGGGGTCAGGGTTTAGGGTTCCTAAACCCACTACAATATCTTTTGAACCCGTCTCCATCCAACTTGCAGTGCATCTGCTGGGAACTTAGCCCTATCATAGGCCCAAAAGCTGGTAGACCCTAGACGCTAGACCCTAAACCCTAAACCCTAAACCCGAAACCCTAAACCCTAAACCCTGCACCCGCCCTAAACCGCAGCCATCGGCAGCACCTTGTGCAAAGCATATGCCGATGCATAGTGCCGCGGTCGCCGCCCGGCACCGGGCCTGCGGCTTTGGGTTTAGGGTTTAGGGTTTAGGGTTTAGGGTTTAGGGTTTAGGGTTTAGGGTTTAGGGTTTAGGGTTTAGGGTTTAGGGTTTAGGGTTTAGGGTTTAGGGTTTAGGGTTTAGGGTGTAGGGTTTAGGGTGTGGGGTTTGAAGGGTTTGGGGTTTAGGGTTTGGGGTTTAGGCCAACGCCTCGCAGTGGGTGCGGCCCCGTGGGGCTCCGAAGGCGGAGAAGGTGCCACAGGAGAAGGGGCCGGGGGCCCGCACCTGGAAGGGGGCTTTGACCCCAAAACCGGTTTAGGGTTTATAGGGTATAGGGTATAGGGTATAGGGTATAGGGTTTAGGGTTTAGGGTTTAGGGTGTAGGGTTTAGGGTTTAGGGTTTAGGGGTCAGGGTTCCAAGTCTGAGCCCCGAATCTCGGAGTCCTCAAACCAAAGATGAGCTTGTAGCTAGGGGGCCCCTGTAGGACTCCTGGAAGAGGTCTCTTGAAAATGGTTTGGGAAGCTGGTTTTGCTTGGAGGATCGAGTGGAGTCGAGGGCTTAGGGCCTTTAAGTAGTTGAGCTTAGGGCCAATAGTAGTACAGAGAAGCGAAGTTTGGGGTTCTAGTTTCCGGAACCTCCCAAAGGCCTCAGGCCCCCAACTTCTTTGACAAGATGTCGGGGTCCGGGCCCAGGCTGTTGGTTGAGGATTGGGTTTAGGGTTTAGGGTTTAGGGTTTAGGGTTTAGGGTTTAGGGTTTAGGGTTTAGGGTTTTGGGTTTAGGCTACTTTTGAGATTACTCGTCCGTGCTTATACCCTGTTTTCCCTAAACCCCCCGGCACGATCTGGAAAGTAGAGCCCCAGTCTAGCACTCTGTGCTACGCGGGGGAGAATGAGAAACCCTTTGCGCCCCAAAACCCCAAAAACCCCAAAGCCCAAACCCCCAAACCCTTTTGCCTTAAACAATGGGATCCTGCGAGGGCTTGGGGGGTTCAGATTGTCTTCACCCTAAACCCTGTAAGCCCTATAAACCCTGTAAACCCTATAAGCCCCGTAAACCCTAAACCCTATAAACCCTATAAACAAAAAAAACCTATAAACCCTACAAACACTATAAACCCTATAAACCCCATAAACCCTAAAAGCCCTGAAAACCCTATGAACCCTATAAACCCTATAAACCCTAAACTCTAACGAAGGCACGGCAGTGTCAGCGGCCCCTCTACCGGAGAGGCAAGCGGCTCGCCCCCTGGCATCGGAGTGGGCTTGACGTCTGGGAGTTGCTGCTACAAGGAGGGGTCCCCCAAATTAAGTTATAAGTCCCTGAACGACAGTGAGTATAGTAAGGGGCCCCCTCCCTGTAGGGACCATTAAGTTGCCATGGGTTGAGGGGTTCAGGGTTCAGAGCTTAGGGTTCACAGACCCCCGGGAGGATCCGAAAAGTAGAGCCCCTTCAGGGCTCAGAAGAAAGACCCAAGAGTGGTATACAGTATAGTACTTGTTTGGATCCTCCCCCAGGGGTCTGGGTATAAGGGTGATTCCCGATTTTGGTGTCCCGATGCTATGGCACGGCACCCTTGTAACAAGGACCGAGAACTACCCAAACAGCTATAGTTAATGATGTGGTTTCCTATGGTAACTTCACTGAAGTTTTCTTAACAGCAAGCCAGCATTTAAAGCTAAACATCAACTTCGTATGCTTTTGCATCTTAGGGCTCAGCAGCTAGCGTTTGGGTGGTGGAGGTTCAGGGTTCTCCTTCCAAGCACATGCTTATGGATTAAGACCGGCCGTTTCTGTGTGCGCCGAGGTGTTCAAAAGGCCTTGCGCCCATGTTCTAGTTCATGCTTGGGATAGCATTAGAAGGTTTAGGGTTTAGGTACCCTTAAAAATGTAAAAAGTGGCCGCGCTATGACAAAGTCATGACGCCTCGCCGTTCTTTTGTCAAGCTCGGGAGGTCCACACTGCTTTGCGGGGCTGCTGTGGCCCTGACTTGGAGGTTCAAGAGGCTACAAGTCGTGCCCGAAACAAATGATCAAGACCTATAGCTGCTCTCCGACCAAGTAGCCACTAAACCCTAAACCCTAAACCCTAAACCCTAAACCCTAAACCCTAAACCCTAAACCCTAAACCCTAAACCCTAAACCCTATCCCCATGAACCTCCAAGTTTTAGAAATAACTCCGCGAGGCGCCCTTCAAACCTCCGGGTCCCTGGACGTGCAAGCATGTCCAGGTAACCCAGACTGCCAAGACCATGGGGGTTTTAGGATTTAATTATAGGGTTTATAGGGTTTATAGGGTTTAGGGTTTATAGGGTTTATTATGGGGTTTTTGGGGTTTATAGGGTTTAGGGTTTCGGGTGCAGAAAGGCTTGAGTAGCTTAGGCCATTCTTGTGATTCTTGTGGTGTTTGGGACCTGGCCGGGCGACTTGCGTCCACCACTCCCTTCGGGATGCGGCGGCCAAAATCGGATGACTGAACTTATTCCTATACAGAAGGCCCTGCTGTAAGCAGCTAAGGTGTGGAGATAACAACTTGCACGCGTCGTGTGCGCGTGCAAGTGGTGCTGACTTAACAGTTCACCCAGTCCTCAGTGCACACCGCTGCCAGGTGTTGTTGGATTCGAACCTGCGAAGGTTCCGCTCTTCGAGCGATGCAGGGAAAGGAGATCAAGCGGCACCTCCTTCTGCACCTGCCGCAGCAGCTCCTCGTCGACGACATCGGCTCGCCCTTGCCCCAAGAACTTCTCACGCAGCCTCTCAATGCCGGTCTCTCTGGTACCTGCAACTTCGAAGCCCAAGTTTTCCACAACTTCCATCTCCCGGAGCAGGTCCTGGACCTGTCGGGCGATTTCTGACTGTCTCGCTTCACGCTTCTCGACGTTCTCAGCCAAGCTTGCTCTGTAGAACTCAATCATCAGGGCGGTGACCAGATTGACCACCACCAGTACGGCAATGGCATAGTATCCGATGAAAATGGCCATCGTGGCCGGGTGTGCCTTGTGCACGGCCTCCTTAGCCATGGTGGTGCCGTCCGCATTGAGAAGTATCTGTAGGAGTGACATGGCCGCCTCTGGGAACGTGGTGAAGCCACGTGCGCTGAACCTGCCCAGGGTCTCCAAGGCGATGGCAGCGAAGGCATACTGCACCACGCAGATCAGGCCCATCATCTGCGTCATCGCCGGAAGGATGTCTGCCAAGCCTTAGTTGCTGAGTTCATAGGCCCCAAAAGGTGTACACTTTCAGTTCTATAGGGGATTGGAGTGTCCCAAAATGTGTAAAGTGTACTCACTCAGCTGCTAAGAAGCACTGGCCGAAGCGGCGCAAAGCTCCGAAGGTGGCTGCAAGACGAAGGCTACGGAGCGCCCCAAGTGCTGCAGACAAGGGCCGGAAGCCCGCCAAGGAGCTGCAGCACAAAGTTGAAGCCGAAAGGGTGGTCAAAGCACTCGCCAGCACCAATTCCGCCTTGAGCAGAACTCGGGTCTCCGAAGACCCGCCAAAGCGCCAAGCCTTGCGTAGGCTGCCGGAAGCAAAGACCTGTGTGGCCATCTGTAGCAGGAAGACCATCTGCAGCAGATCGTTGACTTGCAGATGGCATCCAAGGGCTGCGAAGGGCTCGATGCATTCAGCATCAGCCAGGAAAATCGCAGCATCGGCCCAGAGAAGAAAACGAACAAGCAGTGTGTACCGGGGGTCCGAGACCAGGCGCCTTGTTCATTGTTGGGATAACATTAAAGATTATATTTATACTCCTTATTGGGTTTAAGTACATATAAAAATGTAAAATGTTACCCAACTATGACAAAGGCGCTCAGCACTGCAGCTCCACCAGGGCTGCTCGCGGCAAACGCCAGGCACATCCCAAGCCGGGCGCCGAGGTTTGAAGGTGAGCTCCAGGACCTAGACCCAAGAGAAACCTAAAAAAAAAAAAAAGAGGGTGCCCATGGGTGCCCTTTGAGGGGTTTATAAGGGAACCTAAACCCTCAAAAACAGAACGAGGGCCTACTCTGGGCCCGAGGGGCCGTGTGCAGGGAGAGGAAGTCGATGGGGTCGATGTTAGGTTCGGGATTGGACCAGGGGCCGCTCGTGGGCTCCTCTTGGTTGCTGAGTTCAGAAGCCCCCCCCAAAAAAGTGTACACTTTCAGTTCTGTAGGGGACGAAAGTATCCCAAAAAGGATAAGGTGGACTCACTCCGCTACTAAGTCCTTGAAGGGAAGGGGTGACTCGGGTAGCTGTGGTAGAAGTGGAATCATCGGCCGCTTTGGGGGCGAGGGCGAGTGTGCCAAAGGTGAGAGGTCCTCCAAGCTGCGGCTCCCCGCAGGGGTTGAAGGCCCTGAACTGGCGGCCACCATCGACTTGTACTTGTTGGAGAGCAGGCTGAACTTCAAGTGCCTTTCCTGGGCTGGCCCTTAAAACCCTCTGAAAACTATTCCTGCATATGATTCTCCCAATAATCAAGGGAAAATATAAAGTGTCCCAATGGCCAGGGGCCTGCCTAGTTTCGAAGGGTGAGTCCGAAGGCCGGAGTTTCTGAATCAGGCGATCGAAGGCCCTCTGCCTCAAGTGCCCTTCCTTGCGAAGGTCCAGTACCGCGAAAGCTCGCATCAGACCTTTGGCTTGCTTCACACGCTTACTTCTCAGCTCCTCCTGTGCCTCCTCCATGTAGGTGTCAATGACGGTTCCCAGTACCAACTGCATCAGGAAGACGACGCCAACAACCACAAAGACAAAGAAGACCAGGAGTGACACAAGCCCTCCATGATCGGTAAGGTCATGAAGCCTTAGTAGCCCAGGAACACCCTTTTTTGGGGTTGGCTACTTTATAAGGGAATCCAGAACCCCAAAAAAAAAAGGGTAAAGGGTACCCCTGGGCTGCCCAGAAGCAGCTCCTTGTAGTTATCCTGGGTCAGCAGCAGGACCGCCATTTCCTGGAAGGTGGCCAGGGAGCTGGTGAAGTAGCGCGTGCCACTGCCCCGCAGCAGCCGAGCCATGCCAAGCGAAGAGGCCGTCAGGATGAAAAGCAACAAGGTGAGGACCTTCACGAGGCTTGGGCAAATGCGGAGCACCGTGGTGTAGAAGTTCCGGACACTTCGGGAGCGTAGCACTAGCATGATCGGCCGCAAGGGTCGCGACACATGGGTGCATGGTGCGAGCGCGGCATCAGCGAAAAGGATCACGGTGAGTGCCGCATAGGTGGTTTGCCAGATCTTGGAGCCTCGAAGCGACAGGAAGGTCCCAGCCCCCATGTAAGCGACCTTCAGCCAAATATCGGCTACGTAGATCAGAACCAGGAAGAGCTCCGCCATGTTCTCCCAGCCGCGGACGCAGCTCTGTCCTGGAGGCGGCTCAAGGATGATAAGGAGAGAGTGGAGCACGCAGGCCGCCATCACCATCACGTGCCAAGCGATGTGGGTCTGCACGAAGCAGCAGTACAGCTTCCGCTTGTTGCCGGACTTGTAGTTCGATGCGAGCCCATTGTCAAGGCGGCCCTCAGTTGCGTCTTCCACGTAGTAGGCTGCAAGCTGCACTGCGACCTCGAACTCCTCATCCTTGACGGCGAGCATGGCATTGCGGTGTGTGCGCCACCTGGATGAAGAACTCGGGGACCTGTCCGCTGAAGGCTTCCCTGACCTTAGTTGCTGAGTTCCTAAGCCCCCCAAAAAACATGTACACTTTCAGTTCTATAGGGGGTTCAAGTATCCCAAATCGTGTGAAGTGTACTCATTCAGCCACTAAGTGACGACTCATCACGCGTGAAGGAGTTGGCTGGCACGGCTGGCACGGCAGCCAGGCCCGTCAAGCGACGCCGAAGCGCAAGGCGCCAGGGCGGTGCCGAAAGAGCGCCTTAGCAAGTGTGCTCCTAAAAATTGCAGTCATGGACCCTACACTACTTTCACTCCTATGAAGGAATATGAACCATGATTATTTTCGATTAAGGTATATGAACCCATAAAGTCCTAAACCCCGAACCCCAAACCCTACCTGGGACTCGCTGTACCTACTGCTGAATGGGCTATACCTACTCACTAAGGGGCAGCTACTACGAAACTGCAGGTAAAGAAAGTCCCAGGTAAACCCTAAACCCTAAACCCTAAACCCTAAACCCTAAACCCTAAACCCTAAACCCCAAACTTTCAACCCGCGCGCCTTGCTCGGCAGCTCCCCTTGGGAGCCTCTGCGCCTCCTTCGACTCGCCGTTGTGGCTGCCGAGGAGGCTCGGCAGGATGCGCTTGGCCATGGCTACTCGGCGATGTTTGGGCTGGAGCTCTGTATATGTACACACACACACACATATATATATATATATATATGTGTGTATATATATATATACATGTTATATATATATATACTTGTTTATTAATTCAACAGTATGTATATGAATATATACATCTATACATATATATATATGTGTCGCTACACACTGTGCTACTGCTCTGCGCTATGGAGCTTCTGCATGAAGCATCTAGGTCGCTGCGATGACCCCTCCTCTCCCGCTTTTGCTTTTGTTTGGGCCGCTTCCGTGTCGAAGGATAGGCATCCATGGCATGATGTCACCCCTACTTTGGAGTAGACCCTGGCAAAAAAAACAAGTATATACTTTCTAGGTATAAGTAGCTCTAATAGTTATATACTTTCTAGGTATAAGTAGCTCGAATAGGAAACAAGCTTACTGAAGTATAGTACTCCAAAACCCAGCCTTGCCTAGGGCCAGTTTGGGGTTTAGCGTTTAGGGTCTAGGGTTTTTTGACCCTCCAAACATGGCCTACGTGCACTTCTTTTGGGGCCATAGGCCTAAACCCTATAAACCTTAAACCCTAAACTCTGACGGCCTGTGGCCACTCGCAATGGTGCTTTGGGGCTCTTATGCATTTGGACCTGTTCAGGGCTTCGACCTACCATGTGTTTAGATACTGTAGTCTTTTGTATGGTATTGAGCCCTACAAACCCTAAACCCTAAAACCCCAAAACCCCTAAACCCAAAACCCTAGAAGCACTTAGAAACACTGAGAAACCCTAAAAACCCTAAAAACCCTAAAAACCCTAGAACCCCTAGAAACCCTAAACCCTGATCCCTCCGCCCTTAAACCAAGCCTGGGACATCCAGGTCGTCATCGAGCACCGTCGGGCTTTCGGCCACCTCGGGAATCGCTTTGTGAGGGTTGTCGCAATTCAGGGTTTAGGGTTTAGGGTTTAGGGTTTAGGGTTTAGGGTTTAGGGTTTAGGGTTTAGGGTTAGGGTGTAGGTTTAGGGTCTAGGGTTTAGGGTTAGGGGTTAGGGTTTCATACAGCATGGTGAGTATCAAAAGCAAGTACTTCAGAGGGGGGGACTATTTGCATATGTATATATTCATTCACTTATTTATTTATTTGTTTATATATATATATAGGGCCTCAGGGATTGAAGAAGCAGGCTTTTCGGAGCTTCGGGCAGGCAGGTCAGGGTCATGATTAGGGTTTAGGGTTTTTAGATGGTTTAGATGGTTTAGGGTGAAGGACTCAACGTCAAGAGGAACATCGAGACACCGGATGAAGGGTTTGCTCCCTCTCCCTACTTTCGTAGTTCTCCAAACTCTGGCTCCTGTTTTGGGTCCCCCAAAAGAATACGGCACTCTGACAAAAAGAGCCCCAGAAAGGACCCTAACTTAGAGTGAACTACCCATTCGGTCCCTACAAGGAGGGGCCCCCTAGTTATAAGTAGAGTTATAAGGACCCTAAGTTGGGTTATAAGGATCCTAAATTAGGTTATAGGTCCCTTAACTACAGTTAGTATAGTAAGGGGGCCCCTCCTTGTAGAGGAGTCTCTTTCCCATACTCCACACCTAGCTGGCAGCATGCCCAAAATGTCGAGCCATGGCTGACGGGTTTAGGGTTTAGGGCTCAGGGTTTAGGGCTTAGGGTTTAGAGGGATTAAGGGGGATTCATGGGGTTCAGAGCTCAAATTATTTGGAGGGTCGAAGGTTTCTAGGAGGGACAACCGCTTCTCCCTACCGCCGCCACCTCCATCTCCGCGGCCGCGAATCGCAAGGCTTCCGAATCTCCCCCGTAGCCTTGTTTCGGGTTTAAGGTCAACCTACGTAAAAGGGAGACTTATACGGTTTTGGGGGCTGTAGGGCTTTTCGGCTTCTATCTCACATGGTTTCGGAACCCAGCGGGGCTTCAAACGTAGCATGGGGAGCCCTGGAGGAATTAAATCGGAACTCCACACCCTGCACCCCGACCCCTGAACCCAAAGCCCTCTAGGAACGGAAGTTACAAAGATGTAAACAACAATGACTAGTATTGCTTATTGTTTTGACTCCTGTGCGTGTTGCCATCAGAAATGCTGCAAGCTATCGTGTGTTCAACGGTGCCATCAATGGAACATTGGCGCGCCCCTTAGTCGGATTAAACCCTAAACCCTAAACCCTATAAACCCTAAATCCTAAACCCCCTAAACCCTAAACCGACTAGTACCTGGGAGTCCGGAGAGCCTTGCGCCGGCGGTCGAGCCGTGGGTGTGGGCGGTGCCTGGGCCCGCGCGGCCGCCGGCGGGGGGGGGGTGGTAGGGTTTAGGGCTAGGGTTTAGGGCTTCGGGTTTCGAGTTTAGGGTTTAGGGACGACTCAAGCCCGCATGCAAGGGGTTCCAGGGTTTGGGGTTGAGGCGTAGCCCTTCTTGGGCATGACCGGGTTTCCATGATGTTTAGCGCACGGCATTTTTGGGGTGTTTTTTTTGGATGGTGGAGGGTTTTGTATGGTGTTTGAAAAGGCCTCAGGGTTCAGAGCGGAAGGCTAATTTAGTTAGAGTATACCTTGCCTATTTTGGCTAATAATGCCACCGCCAACCCATTAGATGATCATTCCTAGGGTCCCCCCTACATTTCACCGATAAATCACTACTACTTCCCCCATTAGATGATCATTCCTATACTCCCCCCTACATTTCACCGATATATCACTACTACTACCCCATTATCAATACAATTTTAGGAATAACCATTACCCCATCTATTACCTCTAAGGTGGCATTATTGCTCAAAAGGGGCAAGGGGGTTCTTGTAGGATTTGGTTCAGGGTTTAGGGTTAAGGGTTATAACTACAATGTACTTGTAATATATAACTGCTTATGTATTATAATTACATTATAACTATGCTGGTGAGGAGACTATCTAGTTTGAATTTTGAACGATCATCTCATTTAAGAACTCTGATGTTGCTTGTAAATATTCATAATGTAATTGTTTGTCTATTTTTACACGATATTGTAAATGATATATGATCGCAATAAAAATATGATATACTCTTTGATAATAATGAGAACAACCACATAACACATCTTTGTAATAATTCATTTTCTCCTGATGCCATTGATAGAAGTCAAATGTATCTAGGTTCTCATACATTGTTTTCATTTCAATATGTAACTCCAGTGTATAATCTTTCTTTTGAACATCATCTCGCATTATTTCATGAACTTCATCGTATTCTGGGTATTTGTTTAACTTAGTAAAGGGTAATATATAATCATCAAACAAATTTCTTAACTCACAACATTTATCACAACCATAGTAATCTACGATCTGGTTTTTAAGGCTATGTAAGACATCGCATTTGCCTAGTAATATTTTCTGTATGTTCTTAACTGGGTTACATTTATCACATCTATTGAAATAATTAAATTTGTGTATCTGATTATACAGATATGTTTCATCATATTCACTTTCACTTTCATATTCACTCTCACTCATTACCACGATAATATATAAGTTGTTATTTCTTTAGGTCATTTTCTTTAGAAATATTATTTTCTTAAGATTTACTGGATCACGGCTTATTTGACAGACTTATCCAAGCATTCAGAACAAGTCGCAATGTATTTAACATAATAATAAGAATGCTTACCCGCATAATAGCAACGCTTAAAACAATCAATATTTTTGTCTTGCTTACAACGATAACACTTCCTAGTAACAACATTATTTGTTTCAGTATATGGATCAAAATCAACTGATATCTTATTTACTTTTATTGTCATTATATTAATAATATACACATTTTCATAATGTGAGATTATGAAAATTTGCATTCCCTTAAGATTTAATGAAACTAATTACGAATTCTTATCATTTCCACACTCTTATGGTGTGCTTATGCTTCTGTTCATCACACGGGAGCAATGGGACCTTCTAGATGTCTGGGCAGGGGAAACTTTACGCTGTCAAGTTACCATAGAAAATATTTTTTAAATCTTAATCCATCATATTTAAATTATTCTTTAAAATAGTTACATCTTTGTCTATCCTTTCAACATCCTCCTCCACTTTTTCTAGCCTCTCTTCTGGGGTGGGTTTTCTTGATCCCCATCCGGCGGTAACCGTATCAACACCTTCATTATCTTGTGAGTTTGTTTTAAAGATGTCGTTTTCATCGGGGGTTGTTCCTCTTCCCATTTTCCAACTGCTTCTATCTTCAATGATTGTTTTACCTTCGGTGTTTATCTTAGTTTCTTTGTGAAAAGTTTTTCTTCTGCATTTGCAGGGCAAACAATTCAAACCATCTGTGTTCAAGTGGAAGCCACCTTCATTTGATTCCCTATGATTGTCGCTCATTAATTCTTCGAAGATTTTTTTAAATACTCAAGAACCGCCTTAAGCAATTCTAAAGAAGCGGCGCAACACCTTTTAAGCTTGGTGTCTTGTATTACAATCTTCTCAATTTCCTCAATTTCCTCTATCGTTTCCAAATACCTATCCATTATATTAAAAGACATTTTTCTCTTATTAGTTAATGAGTGCAGAAATACCTAAAGTAGAGCCGATAGACATACCCGAATATAAATATAAAAACAGCAAGTTTGACATGATGCCGAAGCTACCCGCGCGGATGCTATGCGTGGCTTCTTCAACAGGTGGTAAAACAGTATTGATCCAGAACTTAATATTAAAAATCTACAGAGGATCGTTTGAGAGAATATACATCTTCTCGCCCAGTGTTCATGTTGATGACACTTGGTCGGCAGTAAAGAAATACATAAGGGATGTAATGAAGGTGGATGCCGAAAAAGAACAGCTTTATTACGAGGAATACGATCCGGTGGCGCTAAAGAAGATCATAGACACCCAACATAGAGTAATTGATTTTCAGAAGAAGAACAAACAAAAGGACCTGTTTAGCATTCTGCTGGTGGTGGATGATTTTAGTGATGATCCACGCTTTGTTCGCTACTCTAATATCCTTCACGGTCTTTTCACAAGAGGTCGTC